CCCAAAAGTATCTCCTAAGAGTCGACTAATTGGGAGCTTCCTCCGAAGCTGGAGTGCATCTGCCTGAGAGTCAAGAAACCAATAATCTGCATACAAATCAGTCATATCTGTAAAACAAATGTGCACACAACACTCAGGTTCTGGAAGTGGATGAACAGCCAGAACTTTTCGGCGGAGTTAACGGCCATTGAATGCGATGAAGAAGAGGTCAGCTGCTTAGTACTGCAAGAGTTAAGGTTCCGTTGTAATAAATTAAGTCATTGTCTGTTACTATAGTAATATGTTTTTTTTTTTTTTTTTTTTTTTTTAGATATGGGGTCCCTGAAGTCATATAGCCTGCCAGTAGTAATCATTTCAGATAATGTTAGTATAATTCCTTCTTTCCCAGAAATTAAGCTCAGCAAATTTGTTTTCAAATAAGTTTTTTTTTTTTTAAGTTAAGGACCGTTCTCCTATTGGGTGTATAGTGCTAGGTCTGTATTTTATGGACAGGTCGGCACTCGGTGGATGATGTGTTTAACATCAGGCTGGCCACCTTTACTTCCTACGACTTTACCTGTACCTATTTAGAGCTGGGTCAACCTAGTAACCAAAAACATCTTGTAGAAAAAGCTAATAAAACCTGGTGTGTGAATATTCTCTCACCTTTAAACCTTGTTACCCTTTGCTTAATATGTCAGAAAAGAAAAACAGTCCAATCATTATGGGTCCTTTTTGGGAATTGATAGTTTATTTATTCCTGTTGGAAGGTGTCAATATAGACTGGTAATCCTCCTTGTCATTGTCTCACTGGAGGATTTTGTTGTTGTTGTGTAGTTACATTTTATGCAGTGTCTTTTGAGCCAAGAGCTTGAATTTTGTAAGACCTTTTAGTGAGTTTAAATAATGCTGACACAAACAGTACTCAAGTAAGACATAATTTACTTGACTGAGCAATTTCTATAGATTGACTTCATTTCTATATCATTTACGACACACAAGGTGGGCGATTCCTGAAATAGGTGTAAATAATGACAGTAAGAATTTAACAAACTGATTCTGTGCACACACAAAAACAGATAAAAGCATGTGACAAATTTAAAAATTCCATGGTAATCATGTGGTTGTCTTGAACTTCCAGCTGTGACATGTACGGCATAACTAGAGATGTTGTTTGTATATTTCAGTGGAAACATTTAATCTGTCTGCTTCATTATGTGTTAAAGTAACTCTGTAGTAATGCACTGAATTGATGCAGGGAGATAAGCCAAGCACTAAATTGTGCAGTGTCAGATCTCTTTATTTCTTCTTCTTTTGTGTTCACCCTCAAAAGTGTGTTTGATATGTTGTGTTGTTGTTTACTGCTAGGCTGCAGTATCCCCCCCCCCCTTTTTAAGGCTGAGATGAGATGACAAGAGTGATAATCCTGTGGACTTAAGAGTCATTATTCACAATCTTCTGGAGTTGTTTTAGAACCTTTGTTGTTGTTATTTTGGCTCAGTGTTTTAGGTGTGTTCAAGCCATCGTGGTGTAGCAGCTAGACTCTCCTCGCCTGTGGATTCGAAGGTTGTGGGTTTAAAGTCGAAGGAGAGGCGGACTTTAACTTGTTTTTTATTTTTTAAACTTGACACTCAAGTCCACCCAGCCTTAAATGGGTACCAGATAAAGTCCTGGAAAATAATTTATCTGGCAAGTGCCGATTGGTCTATAAAAGATAGGTCCAACCCTATACGCCCAGTTTGCCTGAAAGCATGGAGAAAGGTCCCTAACTTTAGTGTGTTTATCTCTACATTTACTGCTCGTTTTAGCACCTCTGTTGTTTTAATTGTCCATTGACTGCTGGTTTTAGAACCTTCTTTGTGTTTATTGCCAGATTGATTGCTTGTTTGAGAGCCTTTGTTGACTGCTTGTTTTAAAGCCTTGTTTTATTTATGTTTAATGCCACATTTACTACTTGTTTTAGAGCTTTTGCTGACTGCTTGTTTTAGTGCCCCTGTTGTGTTTATTGCCACATCAGATGCTTGTTTTAGTGCCTAACTACTTGTTTTAGAGCTTTTGCTGACTGCTAGTTTTAGTGCCTCTGTTGTGTTTATTGCCACATCGGCTGCTTGTTTTAGTGCCTCTATTGTGTTTATTGCCACATCAGCTGCTTGTTTTAGTGCCTCTGTTATGTTTATTACCACATTGATTGCTTGTTTTAGTGCTTTCATTGTGTTTATTCCTAACCTGCACAGTCCTTGGCGACAACCCTAGCCACCCGGCTCTAATTCCTCAAGCTCAGGCACCCATGTCTACACCGCCCTAAAAAGTGGTAAAACAGACAGTAGTGACAGTTTGACAGTTGTGTTTGTTGTCAGATGGACTGCTTGTTCTAAAGCCTTTGTTGTGTTTGTTGCCAGACTGACTGCTTGTTTTAGATCCCTTGCTGTACCTTTAGATTTTGTTATTTCTGTTAGCCTTTATTGTTCTCATTCCCAGGCTTGAGCTGTTGTTGCATTATTGCCATTTGTGAAATGTTTATATAGAAAACTCAGAATATAGAAGATTCAGTCTTTCACCATGACTGTTGTCTGTTTCCTGCTTCAGCCCAGAGTATCTGAAATGTCCTTCTTGTTAGTCCTTGCCTCTTCTCACTGAGGCACACCTTATAACAAACATGGTAGGTTATATAGTTATTGTTACTTGCATCTTTATGGACCTTGATAACATAAGGACATATTTTTTGTTAAATCTGTTAAAAGTAATACAAACATCTTTGCACAGACACTTACTTCCCAGAACATTACTTCCCAGGATATTGCTTCAAAGAACATTGTTTCCCATTATATTACTTCCCAGAACATTACTTCCCAGGACATTACTTCCCAGGATATTACTTCCCAGAACATTACTTCCTAGGATATTGCTTCCCAGATCATTACTTTCCAGGATATTGCTTCCCAGAACATTACTTTCCAGGATATTACTTCACAGAACATTACTTTCCATAACATTACTTCCCAGAACATTACTTTCCAGGATATTGCTTCACAGAACATTACTTTCCAGAACATTACATTATAGAACATTAATCTCCAGAACATTACTTCCCAGGATATAACTTTCCAGAACATTACTTTCCAGAACATTACTTCCTGAGAACATTCCCAGGATTTGCTTCCCAGAAAATTACTATTATTGCTTCCCAGACAAGAACATTACTTCTTATTGCTTCAGAACATTACTCTCCAGAACATTACTTCCCAGAACATTATTTTCCCAGAACATTACTTTCCAGAATATTACTTCCCAGAACATTACTCTCCAGAACATTACTTTCCATAATATTGCTTCGCAGAACATTACTTCCCAGTGCATTGCTTCCCAGAACATTATTTTCCAGAACATTACTTCCCTAGAGTATTGCTTTCCAGAACATTACTTCCCAGGACATTGCTTCACAGGACATTACTTCCCAGGACATTGCTTCACAGGGCATTACTTCAGAGAATATTACTTCCCAGAACATTACTTCCCAGGACATTGCTTCACAGGACATTACTTTAGAGAATATTACTTCCCAGAACATTACTTCTCAGGACATTACTTCCCAGAACATTACTTCCCAGGACATTACTTCCCAGGACATTACTTCCCAGGACATTACTTCCCAGGACATTACTTCCCAGGATATTGCTCTCTCCAGAACATTACTTCCCAGAACATTACTTCACAGGGCATTACTTCAGAGAATATTACTTCCCAGATTATTACTTCCCAGGATATTGCTTCCCAGAACATTACTTCCCAGGATGTCGCTTCCCAGGAAATGACCTGGTACTCATTTTAGACTGGGTCGACGTGGGAGCCAGGGTCAGAAAGCAGATCAGACTCAGTGCAGATTTGACCCCAGGTTTGGGGGAACATTACTTCCCAGGATGTAGCTTCCCAGGAAATGACCTGGTACTCATTTTAGAATGGCTGGCATCTAGCAACTACATTAACACGTCTCCCTACATTAGTCTAGGCAGTCTTAATACTCTTCACTCATGAAAATCCTAAATGGCACCGACAGTGTTTTAAAATATGTCTCGGTAGATGGGCATAACATATAAACTGTATCAGTCTGTGGTACTTCCAGTGTTCATTTAAGAATGAACCTGTGTCAGATCCTGAAAACCAGAAGCAGATTTCAATGTTCACCACCAAATGCTCTAGACATAGTTTTATGGAATCAGAAAATCCATCATTCAGAACATAACAGAAAACTGACCACCTGCAAAATGTGATATTTGAGAAAGACTGAGAGTAAAATAGAAGAGATCAAATGAGAAACTTACGAAATTATTTAAAAGTAAAAAAAATTAAAGATCCCTTTTTACGCCTTTAGGCACATCGGGCATATCAGAAGAGCACCCATATTTTTACAGACCATTCGGCACTAGGTGAGTAATGTGGTCAGCATTACGCCGGCCGTCTTTACTTCCCCGGGACATATACCCTGATACCCATTTTAGGCTGTGAACTGCGACGCCCCATACCACGATAAAAATCCACACAGCCAGTAGTGGTTTTCGATTGCGATACGTTGGAATTACGAGTCAGACTCGCAAAGCCAAAGCCATGGACGCCGCAAGAAATTAGGAAAACTGTTAAACAACACCTGTAATTAAATTCATTGAAAAATAGACTGAAATGGTTTGGCCATTTAATGAGAATGGAGCCACTGATACCAGGAGCGAGAGTGCACAACATGAACACCTAGAGGTAGAGGATGACCAAGAAGAACATGGATTGAAGGAGTCAATGATATCTTGAGACTCCACAACATGCCAGCATACCATGCTGTCCATGATTGATATCCATATTTCAGGAGGGGATTTATATAGCTCTTGAGAGTTATCTTTCTGGTCCCAGTTGACAGAGAAAGATTGCATACAATGTTTTATATTCATATATTTTTTTTGACTGATCTTTTCTTACATCGATATAAAGCTTTGTCCAAAGTAATGACTTCCTTTTCACTGTTTGTATAATTCCAGGCTTTTGGAGCCGGCGACAAATTCTGATATTGCAACATTCCGCATTCACCGGATATTGTTCTGTGCCCGAGGGCCCAGCGAAACTGCAGAGCGTCAGTGTTTCGCTTTCACCTGTAGTCATGGTGACAGTGCCGAGAATGCCATCTTTCAGTGTCATGTCTTTCGCTGTGATATCCCTGAAGCTGTAAGTGTTTTCCTTCAGTGTTTGCTTCACATGTTCTGAGAAAATAAATTGCTTCATAGGATTCATTCTTGTATGATTAGGAATAACTGTGTTTGTTTAGGAATAACTGTATGAGATCGGTTTTTGTTTCAGTAGGAACAACTGTTTTAGGACATGTCCGGAGTGCCGTGAAGATAACCCAAATCCTAACTCATAGCTGTTTTTGATTGGATGTTGCATTATTGGGAAAAACTGTGTTTGATTGGTTCTTGTAGGAGTGGTAATAACTGTGTTTAATTGGTTTTTGTACAACCGGGAATAACTGTTTGATTGGGAATAACTATTTGATGAGTTATTGTATGATTTGGAATCACTATTTTTGACTGATTTTTTATTTTTTTATTTTTATAGTAGGATTAAGAAAAATTGTTTGGATTTTTATTCGGAATGACTGTTTAACGTTTAAATTAATCCTTTTATGATTGAGAATACCACATTTGATAGATTTTTGTATATCTAGGAATATCTGCATGTCTTTTATTTTGTTATAAATTGAGAAATCAGCATTTGATTATTTCTTGTGTGTTTAGGGTATTAACATTTGATAGCTTCTTGTTTGATTAGGGAAATAAGCATTTGATTACTTCTTGTATGATTAGGGATGTCAGCATTTGATTACTTCTTGTATGATTGGGGATATCAGCATTTGATTACTTCTTGAATGATTGGGGATATCAGCATTTGATTACGTCTTGTATGATTGGGGATATCAGCATTTGATTACTTCTTGTATGATTGGGGATATCAGCATTTGATTACTTCTTGAATGATTGGGGATATCAGCATTTGATTACTTCTTGTATGATTGGGGATATCAGCATTTGATTACTTCTTGAATGATTGGGGATATCAACATTTGATTACCTCTTGTATGATTGGGGATATCAGCATTTAATTACTTCTTGTATGATTAGGGATATGAACATTTGATTACATCTTCTGTGATTGAGGATATCATCATTTGATTACTTCTTGAATGTTTAAGATTTTAGAGATATCATTTGATTATATCGTGTATGTTTAAGGAAATCAACATTTTATTACTTCTTGAATGATTAGGGATAATTGCGTTAGATTGGTTCTTGTATGAATGGGGTTATTAGCATTTGATTGCTTCCTGTATGATTGGGGAAATCAACATTTGTTTGCTTCTTGTATAACTGAAGATAACATTTGATTGCTTCTTGTTTGATTTAGAATAGTTGTGTTTGAGTTATTCTTGTCTGATTAAGAATAGTTGTGTTTGAGTTATTCTTGTCTGATTTAGAATAGTTGTGTTTGAGTTATTCTTGTCTGATTAAGAATATTTGTGTTTGAGTTATTCTTGTCTGATTAAGAATAGTTGTGTTTGAGTTATTCTTGTCTGATTTAGAATAGTTGTGTTTGAGTTATTCTTGTCTGATTAAGAATAGTTGTGTTTGAGTTATTCTTGTCTGATTAAGAATAGTTGTGTTTGAGTTATTCTTGTCTGATTAAGAATAGTTGTGTTTGAGTTATTCTTGTCTGATTAAGAATAGTTGTGTTTGAGTTATTCTTGTCTGATTTAGAATAGTTGTGTTTGAGTTATTCTTGTCTGATTAAGAATAGTTGTGTTTGAGTTATTCTTGTCTGATTAAGAATAGTTGCATTTGGTTGGTTCACTATTGGAAACTATGTTGAATGTATACTCACATAAAAGATGATAATTATGATAAGCACAGATTTAGACCCCCTTACAAGGATGTCATAAAAGGCCATTAATTAGGGGTTTGGTGAAATCAGATGAACTGAGTGGCAATGCTCAGATATATCATTATATAGTGCTTCTTCTTATAGTCCATGCTATGTGGTGTTAGTAAGTCCCATCTATCCACAACCTTCTATCTCATGTATTTTTAGTAAATTCTGATACAGATGATCCGCCATGATGTCAAACTGTCCAGCATCTTTCTCTCTTGGTCTTCCGTCTGCCTTTGTTCCCCTCCAGATTTCCCACCGTCTTAGTGTACTCCAGTTTTCTCCTTCTCCTGACATGACCAAAGAATGTAGATTGTCTCCTTCTCCTGACATGACCAAAGAATGTAGATTGTCTCCTTCTCCTGACATGACCAAAGAATGTAGATTGTCTCCTTCTCCTGACATGACCAAAGAATGTAGATTGTCTCCTTCTCCTGACATGACCAAAGAATGTAGATTGTCTCCTTCTCCTGACATGACCAAAGAATGTAGATTGTCTCCTTCTCCTGACATGACCAAAGAATGTAGATTGTCTCCTTCTCCTGACATGACCAAAGAATGTAGATTGTCTCCTTCTCCTGACATGACCAAAGAATGTAGATTGTCTCCTTCTCCTGACATGACCAAAGAATGTAGATTGTCTCCTTCTCCTGACATGACCAAAGAATGTAGATTGTCTCCTTCTCCTGACATGACCAAAGAATGTAGATTGTCTCCTTCTCCTGACATGACCAAAGAATGTAGATTGTCTCCTTCTCCTGACATGACCAAAGAATGTAGATTGTCTCCTTCTCCTGACATGACCAAAGAATGTAGATTGTCTCCTTCTCCTGACATGACCAAAGAATGTAGATTGTCTCCTTCTCCTGACATGACCAAAGAATGTAGATTGTCTCCTTCTGATGTGAGCAGTCAGTTCTTTTCATGAGTCACTTTCTTTTCAGACATTATCATTACTCTGTTTAATCTGTTCTGGGTATTCTTATCATTTGACTTAACCAAAATAAAAATAAAAACACAACACAATCTCTGCCATATCTGAATAATTTTATACTAATCGTCCAGCTGTTCTTGATTGGCTTCTGTCTATCAGAAAATCTCAGTTGACAAAGATAATGCTACTGAACTATAAATCACACCAGAATATGTTGACTGCCCTTTTAAGGGGAAACAGAAGAACAAGAAGAGGAGGGAAAAGAAGAATTCATATCAAGTCCCAGTTTGTGCATAAAATTATAAAATTAGTAGTACATCAGTACACCTAAAGATTTGCGAGAGCCCTTTACTTTCCAAACTGAATTCATCCCTCAGGTACCAAAGATCCTTTACTGTTTTGCCAACACTTTTCGGCGAGTACCAAAACCACAAAGATTATCCAATAGTTCAATATCCAGCACAGAACTAGATTTTACCTTTTCCGTTTCCTTGGACTTTCGTGAAGATGATGGGAAGGGAGGATTTTTTGCTTGTCCCAAAGACAAAGATGTGTTCAAATTCAGAATTAACACAGAGAAGAGACTGATCATTTCAGTCCAGCAAGCAGGACCACATGAAATAAAAATAGAAAGGTAAGTACTTTTTGTGATGTTTGTGAATACCCATTTTTGTGAATACCCATGTGTTATGTGTTATGTTATCACAATTGCTGCCACTGCACATTGGGCATTTCCATGTGTGCTTAGTCCTGTGATGCAGCAGCCACTCCAGGGTATCTCTGTTGTTCCCCTGAGGAGTTGGTTATCTCGGCATCGTAGGCAGCGTAGACGTGCTTTGCCATGTTTTATTCCTATGTCATGCAGTCATGTTGTTGTCAGAGATTCATCATTATCCTCTAGCCCAGTCTGTACAGCACTGATGGTATCAGCTGTACCCATGATTCTCCCCACATGAATTGTTGCATTGGGTGCAGTAAGTCCACTCATTACCTTCTATGTCAGCATGACCAGGTGTGTAGATCCTTATGTAATAGGACCCTTAGTGGAAACAAATAATAATAACACTGCACCCTACCAGGCATCTCATTAGAGGTGGCCGGGGATTTGTTTCTGGTGGAACACAATGGTATGCAGTACCGGCACTTGTTTAGGACATTTTTTTCGGCGCTAATGTATTTAACACTTTGTGGTGGGTATCAGCACCCTTTTTTTTTAAAGACATTTTTTGGTGAGTACAGGCACATTCTTAAGACACTTTGTGGTTAGAACAGATTAACAGATTTCCTTGTTTACTCCTGTCTCTAGTAGTTACAAAGTTCTGATTCATTTGTTGGGACAGACTGGAAATTTGCTTGTTCACTGCCATCTCTTAGAGTTAAAAGGGTTCTGGTTCATTTATTGGGACAGACTGGAAGATTTGTTTATTCACTGCCATCTCTAAGAGTTAAAACAGTTCTGGTTCATTTGTTGTGACAGACTGAAAGATTTGCTTGTTCACTGCCATCTGTAAGTGTTAAAACAGTTCTGGTTCATTTGTTGTGACGGACTGGAAGATTTGCTTATTCATTGCTATCTCTAAGAGTTAAAATGGTTCTGGTTCATTTGTTGGGACAGACTGAAAGATTTGCTTATTCACTGCCATCTCTAAGAGTTAAAACAGTTCTGGTTCATTTGTTGCGACAGACTGGAAGATTTGCATGTTTACTTTCATCACTAAGAGGTACTGAACTTCTGGTCCAATATTGCGGATCTTTCAGCTGACAGAAAAAAAGTTATTTGTTTCTGGCCACAGTTTTCTGATGCAGGGTCTTCATTTCTGGACAGGGAGTACACAGGTTTTATCACCCATCAGCTGAGTTAAGTGTGGGGTGTGACACTGAACTGTTGATTTTGAAACAGGAATGGAGCACTTACGGGGTCACCCGTTTGCAGGGAAGTTGGGACCCCCACTCATGGCTAAGAGTTACAACAGTTTTGATTCCTGCGGACTGGAACATTAACTTATTGACTCTCATCCTTAAGATTTATTACATTTCTGATTTACATGTTAGTACTGTGTTAGACATTTGCTTATTAACTTTCATCCCTAAGAGTTATGATATTTCTTATTCAAGTGTTAGGACTGCTTTAGATATTTACTTATTGACTTTCATCCCTAAGAGTTATGACATTTATTATTCACATGTTAGTACTGTGTTAGACATTTGCTTATTAACTTTCATCCCTAAGAGTTATGACATTTATTATTCACATGTTAGTACTGTGTTAGACATTTGCTTATTAACTTTCATCCCTAAGAGTTATGACATTTATTATTCACATGTTAGTACTGTGTTAGACATTTGCTTGTAAAACTTTCATCCCTAAGAGTTATGACATTTATTATTCACATGTTAGTACTGTGTTAGACATTTGCTTGTAAAACTTTCATCCCTAAGAGTTATGACATTTATTATTCACATGTTAGTACTGTGTTAGACATTTGCTTATTAACTTTCATCCCTAAGAGTTATGACATTTATTATTCACATGTTAGTACTGTGTTAGACATTTGCTTATTAACTTTCATCCCTAAGAGTTATGATATTTCTAATTCAAGTGTTAGGACTGCTTTAGATATTTACTTATTGACTCTCATCCCTAAGAGTTATGACATTTCTGTTTCGTATGTTAGGACTCAGTTAAAGATTTGCTTGTGGACTCTCATCCCCAGATGTTTTGGCCTGCTGATATCGCCAGGCAGAAACGTACAACACAGTGATATGCAGTTAATTGAACTGGTGAGTGCATAACTATAGAACAATAAGACTATTCATGTCTTTCTACCATTCGTTATTCTTTATGAATGTTCACCAGTTGTAAATTTTAGTGCAAAATCTTGTTGTTCATACATTTATCAACTTTGGCTTTGTTGCAGTTTTACATATGCATCTGTTTGTACAGATCTGTGCAGTAAGTTGTTTCCTTGCCCATCAGGAGATACATGTTGACCTCAGATGAATTTTCTACCTCATCATCATACTTTTGTACTATTATACATCGAACAGGGCTCACAGTTTGGTCCCCCATTATGATTTTTCCTGTGCATTCCTTTCGATATCATGGATGGAATCCAGTTTAGCACTTTTGGCCTCTCTCATCAGTGTTCATCTTAGGGTTTTTCTGGCATATCATGGTCCATTGTTTGGCTATGGCTCTCTCTGGCGACAGTTGGTACCAGAGTTTTCTCATCAGATGGCCAGATTATCTCATCTGTTTGCTTTGTAATGATCACTATGTCTGGTTTCAGTCCTAGTCTTCTAATGAATGATATAATAGCCCCCTTAGATTTGTTCCTTTGTATCCATGAACCACCATATTGGAAACACTAACATGAAGGAATATCATCAGTAGAGATTGTCAAGAACACCAAGGATTGAGACCTATAGAAAGACATGAACATTTGTGCAGTCTGGCTTCTTCTTCTTCTTCTTCTTCTTTGATCTTCTGTCAGAAAATTTATACCAGGAGGCTGGTAGCCTTGATGATAGCTACTGTCGGAGTTCATATCTCCCAGTGTACTTACTATACTACTTCATCTTCATTAAGGTTGTAACAGGCCATATTGCTTCTGTGTTAACAGCATACTGTTTACAGTGTTGGAGTATATGTTCAACATTTGCTGGTGCCAGAATTGCAGGGACACATCTCCATGTTTCCTATACAAAAAATGTGAACATAAGTCTACTTTGCCCTGTCCTTAGTCTAAATATGACACATTGTCCCTCTCTAGAGAGGCCATGAAGAATGTCTTAGGGAGAAAATTTGGTGTGGGCATCCAGCCACCTTTCTTGGATACTAGCAGTCTCGCAAGATAGCGATGGTGATGATGAACACTTGACAACCCTCTAGCCAGTAGGCAGCTATATTAGTCACTGCGCCAACCATTCTTTTTCTTGTTCACGTTTGCTGGCTGTAAACTCCGGCAGAAAGTTCTGGTTATTTGTTCACTTCTGGACTTTAGTCTCGTTCCAGATCTTGAGTTTTGCATGCACATCCATTTTGCACAGCTGACTTATGTGTGTGCAGAGTGTTGGTTCCTTGACTCTGAGGAAGATGCACTTTGACCTCAAAGGAAACCGTTAATTAGTTGACTCTTATGACATGCTTGTTGGGGAGGCAGGGGTCTGTTCTTGTTTTTCCTCCGACAATGGGGCCCTCTATAACACAGCTTCTCTGCTGTCGTAGTAAGTGTTAACATTGAATCCTACAGTTTTCCCGAAAGTTTGTCTGTATTTTACTGAAAGATCATTTGTGTCTTTTTCTTCTGAGGGGGGTTGGCATGTTATATTGTGGTTTACAGCTAGGCTGCAATATCAGTGCTTTTCCCCCATGACATCTGATTGAAACAAACTCCTAATTAGTCACTTTTTATGACACATTTTTCTGAGTCAGTGGGTTTATCTCAACTCCCCCTCCCCCACCCCTCACCCCTCTCCCCCAGAATCCTGAACTCGTGCAGGGAATGTCAGATTTCTTCCTCTTCATGTTCTCCGGCTATAAACTCAGACAGAGAGTTCTGGTTGTTTGTCCCCTTTATGACTTTGGTCTTGTTTCAGAACTTTTGCATACACATGTTTTACAGATCTGGCTTATTTGTATGCAGGCTGTTTGTTCCCCACCTCTCAGGCAGATGTACTCTGACTTCAGAGGAAACACCCTGAATTAGTTGACTTTTATGACATGCTTGTTGTAGGGGAAAGGGAGCTGTGGTCCCCAAAGATATATAATCCTAGAACCCATACAGGGAAGGTCATTCTAAATGTGGCATTTGTGATAAGCAGCAGAGTTCCACTGCTGGTCTCATATCACTTCCTTATGTTTGACATTCTCATTTGCCTTCCTGTTGTTTGTTCTGTGAAGTGGCATGCTGCAGTGTGAAGGGTAAGAACAATCGAATGATACTACGCATAAATAGTTTTGTTTGTTTAACTGTCAGTACCAGCTAGTTCACCATACATATTTCTTATCTTTTCTTTCCCACTCTTCTGTTACAATTAGTTACTTACTTTTACTTACTTAAGTGTTAACTAAACTGTTAAATGTCTGAGCAACCACTGGAAACAGCAGTTATAAAACAAAGACGGTGGGCGCTGTTTTGGACACATCCTGAGAAGAAACCTGCAGAGAATCGGCAGACAGGCACAAGAATGAGAAATAAATGGATTGAGGCAGCGAGGATGACTAAAAGAAACCCTAAAAAAAACATTGATGAGAGAGGCCAAAGCTGCTGGTCTGGATGTCATCCATAATATTAAATTGATTTGCACAGAATAGAACAGAGAAGAGGAATAGACTGCGAGCCCTATGTGAAATATAACGACCCAATAAGAAAATGATGGTGATGATGATGATAATGATGATTTTACTGTTAACTGCAGTTCTTGTCCCATGGTTGTATTTTTTAAAGATTCAGCCATTCTTCTTCTGTAGTTAAACCCCTAAAAACGCCGTTGACACATTATGTTGTGGTTTACAGCTAGGCTGTGATATTTATACCTTTTGGCCCAGCACGTGTGAATTTCAGGAAACTCCTCATTAGTCACTTAGTCACCTTTTTTTTTTTTTTGTAAGGGGGAATTGGGTGTGTTCCCACCTCTCCCCTCTAAAACAGGCCCCAAGAACCCACACTGGAAAAGGTGCAGATGGATGATCTAATAGAAAGCTTTGGAATAACAGCTAACTGGGATTTGAGAGTGTTGGTTACTTTTACTCCATAGAAGCCATGGTGCTAATGTTGTTAGTTTGCTTGCCTACCAAGACGATGGTGTGGATTCAATCCCCCAGAGGCAGGATTCTTTTTCTTGAGGGTACAGCTGTGGGGCCTCATAGAATCCTCAGATGTGGGTTCAAATCCTCTTTGAGGAGGATTTAATTTGTCAGAATTGACATTGGTTCCCAGTTTGACCCAGTCTTCAATGGGTACTGGGAAATGTCCTGGGAAGTAAAGATGGCCGGCATGATGCTGACCACATCACCTACTGAATGCTGATAAGTCTGTAAAAAAATGAAGATCTAGCCCTATAAGACCATTGTACTTCAAGTGTGAAAAGGATCCGTTTACTTTGCTTAACCCTGTCACCCAGAGAAGCCATAAAACCAACACTTCTGATTGGAGGCCAATTTCCTGTAAATATCACTTTTCCAACTTGTCTTTAGTGACCTGTTTGTGAGACACATCATCATCATCATCAGGTGCCTTGCCGACTGGCATGGGCGATCATGCCTCTCCACAATCTGCGATCTCCTGCAGCATGTATCACTTGGTGTGCCGACACACCTCCATGCCATGCAACAAGACTGTTTTATACACACACACACACACACACACACACATATTGAGGGCTGAAATAATGAGAATCTGTACTGTGAGACATAGTTTGTGCAATTGGTTGAGTTCACACCTTCACAAACGTTTATTAGATCAGGATATGAATATATTTGCTAAAAAAAAGCATTTAGTGGGGTGAATCAAAACCAGCTGGTGTTTTAGAGCCAAGTTGTTGTCAAGTTTTCACATAAGCCTTAGTGATGAAGGTCACCAGGTCACGTCATGATTCACTAGATATATATTCAGGTCCTCTGAAGTGTAATTCATTGAATGCTTAACTTTGTTCATGTTTGTTGACTACTCCCTTCATATATCTTTTGAGTGGGGGGGGGGGGGGGGGGGCTGAGTTGTCTCGAGGTATGGTGTCTGCCTCGAGTGCTAGAGGTCCCGGGGTTCAAGCTACGGTGAAGGCTGGGATTTTTTCACATGGACTTCTAGTAATTTCCCCTGGTCTCTGGCTAGTAAGATCGGGCGCCTGTTTGTATTGTTGCGTACGTAAAAAAATTCCTTGGCAGTTGAAAATCGAAAAGCATAGCCTAACGGTGTTGCCTGGGCAAAGTTTTGAGTTAAAAATCTGCCTAAAGTATTTCAGGATCCTCGCCGGTGCAACAGAGTTTGTGCACTGCGCTGAGATTCTTCAGACTCAGGCTTGAGTAAGAAGTAGAATGGAACACTCATAGATTACACCATCATGTTGATCCACTAAATAAACATAAACATGTATCTTTTTATATTTCACACACAACATATTTCAAATGTACATAAATCAGTTTTTCAAAAATCATTTAGTGACCTGTGTAAAACTGTTGTTTTGAAGGATTTCTGTTTGAGAATTCCAATGGGGTCATGGTTATAAGGATCATTCATTCATTCATTCAGTAGCATGTCCCTCGCGGAACCTCGCTGCCATAACAACCCTCCGGAAAACCTTCCTATCATGAGCAAGATGTCCTGCGTCTGATACACCCATCTGGAGATCATCTGCCACATCCTGCACCCATCTTCTCCTTGGCCTTCCTCTTCCTCTCTTCCCAGGCATATACCCCTCCATTATTGTTCTCTCTAGACTTCCATGACGTTGGTTATAAGGGTACCTAACTACTAATCTTAGTTGAGATAGCACAAATTCTACCTTTCCTTTACATATTGTCTGTCTTCTGTTAGTTTCACTAATGCTATGGCACTTCTGTATTACATTTTTCTTCATACATCATCCGTCTTCAGTTGATCAGGAAAAAGTAAAGGACCCTTTTCCATGCTTTCAGGCATATAGGGCTAGACCTATATTTTATAGACCAAATTGGCACTTGGTGGGTGATGTGGTCAGCATCACGCTGGCCACCTTTACTACCCATGACATTTTTAACCTGGTGCTCATTTAAGGCTGGGCCGACCTGGGAGCCAAGATCT